TTCTGGGCTGGCATGTCTCCCTCTCTCCACCCCCATCTGCCCTTCGCCAGAGGTTAATCTCCCCTCAGCCAAGGGGCTGTCCATGTCTCCTGGGTGCATTTCCTACCCAAGGGGCAATGCGGCACCCAGGCCAAATCCATCCCAGAGCAGAGGAGGCTGCCCTCTGCAAGAGCTAATGGCACCTCACAGCGGGCTGTGGGCCTGGCAGGAGCAGAGTCAGGGCTCTGGGCGGGGGTGACGAGAGAAGCGTTCTGAAGCCGAGGTGGAGGCTAAGGCAATTCTGTACCAACACTGCGCTCTAAGGAGCGCGGCGCAAGATCAGCCTGTGGGATGGGGCCAAAGGGGACTCTCCACATGGTCAGAGTAGCTTTGGAAATCCGGAACCTGCCCCCAAGAGTCATCATAGGGTCCAGGCTCAGAAAGCAGCCTCCAGTCCTGAGAGGGAGAAGTGTGGGGGGCTTTCCTTTTCATTTCCTTAGTCCTCAAAACCCTTCACTTCCACCCTGCTCCTGCCTCACTGAAGTACGCCATGGAGTGGGAGCTGTCTACGGAAGGAATATAGATTTTTTTCCCCCCTAACGACAGTTCCTCCCATCAGGGCAATAGATTTTAAGAGGGCATTTACAAGGCGTATGTGTGGAAAATAGCCTTTGCTTGCAGGGACACCCATTCCTCTTACCTTTCAACAGTAGCTGACTGAAACCTAAGAATACGTCTGTGGAAGTATCCTAGCATGATTCAACTATGCTGTTTAAACTATTCCTGCTTCTATTTCCTGCTGTACATATTTAAGTTGAAAAACAACAAATACTATTTTGGTTTTTTTTTTTAAGTTTTCCTGTTACAGACTAACGGGGCTACCCCTCTGAATATTTAAGTTGCTCAGATATTTGGGCTGGGGAGGAGAATTCAATGAATAGACAATATATTAACAGGAAGCTGCCCCCAAAGACTAGTTCTGGATCTTCCCTTTCTTATTAACTCTCTGAAGCTAAACCAGGCTTGTTAATGGCACCAAATTATTAGCGTGAAAGGTAACACTGCAGCTGAATTGTCTTTAGATAGCTAACATTCCATTACACCGCCCCGCGCTATATCGGCAGTGGTTTCAAATGTCCATCTACTATGTATGTTCTAGGAGTAGTTATTTTTATTCGTCTGCAGAGAATGTTACCTATGAGAGCAAAATTGTTCTACTTGCTCATGCATTGGCTCTGGACTCTCCTACCAAAGTTAATCACGTCTAAGCAATGAATCTAGCTCTTGATGAAAAACGTAAAGCGCCTTCCAAAGGCAAACGCAACTTCACAGAAGGCGGGCAGGTACAACGCTGCCATCTCTCATTCACTAACAGGTGGGGAAATTGGATTAGGGGTAAACCAAAGGGTAAATTGGATTGCCTTCACACCGACAGCAATATACTCTGCTGGGACCAGCAGCTTGGACTTAAGCTCTGACTTTCTCAAGTTCTGATTTCAAAACCCGTGGTGAAGAAACAAGCACCCTGTCTGGAAATTGTTGTGCACCCTTTCTGTTGGAAGAGTGGTACTAGTTTGAGACGGATCCACCAAAGTATTTGAGCACATGCTTAATGTTAAGCACGCGAGGATTGCCCTTGAAACTTGAATACTTTGCTGAATCGGCTCCTTAGTTTTTTCTCTGTTTCTACGCGGACGCCGCTTGAGCAGGAAAACCAACTGCAAAGCAATCCATTTTCGTCTTAAATGTTCAAAAGAGTGAGAGACACTTTATCTGTTAAACGAGACGCCGAAAAGCACAGAAATTAATTGTTCCCCTTCCCACATCCAGAGAAATAAATGTAGGGGCAATTCTGTCCCTTCCCCTCTCCCCCCAGGTTGAGTCTGCCTAGACTAGTTCATCTTATTCCCATTTGGGAGGCGCGCTAGCACGTATTTCAAAAAGACATTGTGAAATGTGGAGAGCCCCGGGCACACTTTAAAAAGCTGCTCCTTGAGTTCCCAACCCCCGCAATCCAGTTGATGAGGAAAGGCTCTGTGGTTTCGGTGGCACCGTTTGCATTGGGATTGGCACCGTTTGATTGACAAAGTCCCCCATTCTTCCGCATCTCGAGTGTTATCAAACGGATTGTGTAGGGTCAGAAGCTATTGAAGAACCGTCCATGTAGCCGCCGAGAGGAGAATAAAGCATTCTGCAAACACGGGGTGAAGACGGTGGCATTCTCATGCATATGCTTCCAACAGGCGAAATGCATTTCAGCTTTCTTCTGCCTCCTCCTCCCCCTGAGCATTTCCTTTTAACTCAAGCGCTTTAGCAAACAGCAGCACCAGGTAAAAGAACACACTGCGGCCAGGCAGTTAGGTAGGCTCAGACCTGAGAGCTCAGACAGGCTGGACTTCAATTGCTCTGAAGGCAGCGCTCTCAAAAGGAGGTCGGAAGGGCGGTTTAAAAACAAACACAAAACTTTCCCGGTAGTTAGAGAGGAGGATGAACTACCTTGCTGTAATTAACGCGGGGAAAGCGGCGTCTGTGTTAGCATTCCACTAGGATAACTTCTTTTTGCTGAAAAGTGTATGCAAGTCTTATGATCATGTGAAATAATCAATGGCGAGGAGTGTATGCTAAGTGACAACACCTTTGACCTCCGTCCGTATCAGGGACTCGGGACAGGTGTAGCAATCACATTGACTTCCCCTTCTATGATCCAGCGCAGCTCTGGAGTGATCAGCTTAATCCAACTGAGGGATATTTGGAGGCCATTCGAGGTGCATTCAGTGGGGGGGGAGGGACAAATAAGAATGATTAACCACAAAAAGTTCTGAAACGGGAATCATTTCAACACATTCAAAAAGCGCATATGCCCCCGAAGCCAGTAGTCTGGTGTATGTGCAGAATGATCATGGGATAGGGCGCCCGCGGGCCATTAGGCACTACTCGAGAAGATACAGTGATATTTCGTAGGAAAGGCACAATACAGGGGATTTTTAGACGTGCCGTATGTATAGGTAATATTCTGAATAGAAAACATCGCTTTCCCCTACCACCGACCATAACTTTTTGCAATGAGTACATTGAGATTCATCGTTGAGCTGTTTGGGAAATCGGGTATAATGTAGTGTAAATTCCTTTCAAAAGATATGATTAGTGCCTGCTTATTTGCAGAACTAGCATTTGTCCATCTACTTTTTTTTATGTTTTGATCCTTTTCTAAGGTAATAAAATAGGCACGAAATGTTTGTGGATAACCCGGGGGAAAAGCTTCGAATTTGTAACTGAACATCTTCCTCCACGAAAGTATTGACATACATGTGAAATAAAAAAGACAGATCAATTCAGTTATCCTCTGGCAAAGCCATGAAAGGAAATCTTCCACGTAATTAGAAAAGAGCTAAAGACGTGGCGACGAAAACAGGACGTCTCCAAACCAGATGCATTTCTAATCAAAAGTTGTCCTGCCTTGATTCCGATTTGTGATGGGCGACACAACGGATTCTCAACACACACCCATTTCGGTATCAAGGCTGGAGATAACCTGATGCCTACTGAGGCAGAGGAACTGAGGAGCTGACTGCAGAAAAGTTCCACCGATTATATTTGTGCAGAAAAGCTCACCTCTTGCAGAGCTCTACAGTATAATCAAGGCTCCGGCTTACACTTGAAGGATGTTAATTCTCATACGGGGACCTACTTTCTCCTAAACGGTTTCTTGCCTACTGAATGAGTCTCCCAATTGAAGTAAAATGATCCTTATGTACTAATATCAAGCACAGTCACAAAGCGACTGGCCATTTATGCTGCCACTTTAGACAAAGATATTTTGTTATTCCCGGGTAGCAAGTGCACTTTTGCATTTTTAAGCAGGAACAAGCGGAGTGCAAACATATTTACAAGTGCAATTATAAAATAGTGATTTGATGCTTCAAAGTCACTAGGTTAACTGCACCATTGCTGCAATTTTCTTACTATTCAGATAATCCCTTTATTAAATTAGCTCCCAACCCTGTGGGCCATTGTGTTAAAATTCATGGAAGGGTTTTCGTTGAGTTCAGGAGAGACACTGAAATGTGTAGTTTGTAGTTGCTGTACAATTTGGAAAATTCCTTCAAAGTCTTAGCCTGAGTCACATTATAATAATCTGATATAATAACCTGAGTCACGTTAACTATTCGCCACATAGACATGGATAACTATTAATGAAGTCTGCATTCATTTAAAACTACACTGGGCAAAATACTAGAAAATTCAAGGAACCAAATCTTAGTTGGCAGGGTGAGGGGCTAGATGAGTTAATGGGTCTTTTCCATCCCTAACTTCCTTGAGTCCTAAATAAAGCTTTAAAAAAATCTTCAGATTAAGGGGTCTATCAGGGGCTTCTGACACGGCTCCTCTTAGAAAATAAAGAATGACACTTTGGTTTAGGGTATTTTTCAACTGCCTGTCACCCTCGCAAGCTTCCCTCTGCAAAGTAGGCAACACGATCTTTACGGTTTCATGTGCAGAAACGAGACGCTGGTTGTAGTGTTGCAGTTTAGGAGTTACTCTCATGTATGCTATAGAGAAACCTCCTTTGCAGCGTGGTTACAAGGCAGGTGCTGTTCACTAGCCAGCTTTCATACCTGACAATGTGCTGGACATCTCTAGGACCCTTTCGCCTTGTGTAATGCCCCATGTTGGAAACGGTGCTCAAATACGAAAGCTGGATCCTCAAACTATTCGAGGAGATATTTGTCTCTTCAATGTTTCTTTAACATCTAACTTAGTGGGGAGAGAGGGGAACTAAATCCCTTTGTTCCATAATGTTAAACTCTATAGATCCAGCTCTCACAAAGGCTGCGACTATAGTGTTAGGAGTGGGGCTAGAATTATAAATCATTTCTCTTTAACGCAGCAAATTTGCGTTGTAAAATTACATTCAATTCCCCACCCATCAACCCCCAGAAGAATAAAATAAAATTACTTGTGCTCACGGCGGCTTAAAGAAGACATTAAAACCCTGACAAGTAAAACTTAAAGGTGTTTACCTTGTCATCAGCATGTAAGCTAATTATCTTGGGCAAGATGTAGGCTTCTATTGTCTTGTTGCTTTAGTGCCTATGCCCCGCCTCTGGTGGCAGCCTAAAACCTGGCGTCTGGCTAAAACAAACGAAAGGCAGCCCTGAGCCTCCACTCAATCCAATTAAGGCGGACTTCGTCCACTCGGTTACGTGTACATCCAACAAGATCGGCGTTAAGGCAACACCAGAATATTTGGCAAAAAAGATTTGCCTCCCCTTCCCCCTTTTTTTTCAGCCGCCGAATCATGTCGATGAGCCCAAAGCATACGACTCCTTTCTCAGTGTCTGACATCTTGAGTCCCTTGGAGGAAAGCTACAAGAAAGTGGGCATGGAGGGTAGCAACTTGGGGGCTCCCTTGGCAGCCTACAGGCAGACTCAGGTTTCTCAGCCAACGATGCAGCAGCACCCCATGGGCCACAACGGGACAGTGACTGCTGCCTACCATATGACAGCGGCAGGCGTCCCCCAACTCTCCCATACCACGATGGGGGGCTACTGCAACGGCAACCTAGGCAACATGGGGGAACTGCCACCCTACCAGGAGACCATGAGGAACAGCGCTTCAGCCACGGGATGGTATGGGGCCAACCCGGATCCCCGCTTCTCTACAAGTAAGTGAGCCCCGGTACCCGCGGGGGAAACTTTCCGCGCACCTCCGGGAGCAAGCCTGCCCCAGTGTAGCCACTTGGAGAAGCCGTGTCGGGTGCGGGGTTGGGAGGGGGGGCGGAAGGCAAGGGGGGAGAGTGGCTTGAAGTCGGAATGGGGTCAGCCCAAAGGGTGGGAGCGGCAGGGCTAGCGAGGAGCCGCACGATCGGTATTTTTTGTGGTTTTGCTCCCAAAGCCCCTGTCCTGTCCGCTCTTCGCCTGTCTCCCGGTTCCCAAATCTTCCCCGGCTCGCTGTAGGAGCCTAGCGAGCCACTTGCCTTGCCGCAGGAGAACCGACGGGAGAAATGCCCCGCGATCGGAGCGATTTTACTGCAGGCGAGGCGAGCTTTGGGCGGCTGTATCCTGGGGAGGGGGGGATGTCTCTTCCCAAACCTGCTGCTGTACAGCGCGACAGCGAACGGGAACCATTGCCATACGCGCAAGAGGCGCTTTCAATACATTCCAAGCCCTTCCACCCTAAGCCCCGAATAATTCGCAGTGAAACCGACGCATCGAATTGTGCCTCAGCTCCCCCAACAAGCTTGCTTAACGCGGGGGGCACACCGCATGCTGGAAGCGGGAACTGACATGTATTCGCTTACTCCAGCTCTGCGGAGCCAGGGGGTTTCCGATGTTTCCTCCTGACCTAGCGTGGCTCGGAAGGGGCGTAATACCGGTTTGGAGATGGAAACTTGCCCTAGCTAGTGTGTGTGCCTAGGCGCTGCTTTTGTTTCGTTCCCCTGGTCCGGCTCTTGGCTACCCACAGAGCCCGTGTGTGTGTATGGGGGGTGGGGTTCAGTTATTTGCAAAGATTTTGCTCCCCGCAAATCGTTATCACAATAGCCCCATGCTAGTAACACAGTCTATACAGCCCTGCCTGGCTCGGTGGAGGGCTAGGTGGGTTTCAAAGAGCTTGGTAATGGGCAGGTGTTTGATCGGGGAGAGGATCTTGGCTGGGGAGCCGACAATCTACACGCGTTTCTCGTCCAGGCAGCGCCGGGCCTCTAACCGTGTAGCTTAAAATGTGTGATTTTCTTGGTTTTAGTATCCCGCTTTATGGGGCCGTCTTCTGGAATGAACATGGGCGGCATGGGGAGCCTGAGCTCACTTGGAGACGTTAGCAAGAGCATGGCCCCTCTCCAGAGCACGCCACGGAGGAAACGCAGGGTCCTTTTCTCCCAGGCCCAGGTTTACGAGCTGGAGAGACGCTTCAAGCAGCAGAAATACCTCTCAGCTCCGGAGCGAGAGCATTTGGCCAGCATGATCCATCTCACGCCGACTCAGGTCAAGATCTGGTTCCAGAACCACCGCTACAAGATGAAACGCCAGGCCAAAGACAAAGCCGCGCAGCAGCAGATGCAGCAGGACAACAGCGCCTGCCAACAGCAGCAGTCCCCCAGGCGAGTGGCGGTGCCCGTGCTTGTAAAGGATGGCAAGCCGTGTCAAGCGGGCTCCAACACGCCAACGGCAGCGATCCAGAGCCATCAGCAGCAGGCAGCGACAGCCATCACGGTGGCTACCAATGGCAACAGCCTTGGACAGCATCAGAGCCACCAGACAAACAGTGCGGGGCAGTCTCCAGACCTGGGACAGCACTCAGCCAGCCCTTCCTCCCTCCAGAGCCAGGTCTCCAGTTTGTCTCACTTAAACTCTTCTAGTTCTGACTATGGCACGGCCATGTCCTGCTCTACCTTGCTCTACGGTAGGACCTGGTGAAAGGATTTTTTTTTTTTTTTTTTTTGGAAAAAAGCTCAGATGCTCCCAGTCTCACAGATCTCTACCCTGTTCAAACGCTTGTTTGATTTTATTTTTTATTTTTACTTTTTCACGAGCGGTTCTCCGAGGAACCCCTAGCAGAGAGAGAAAATGACTTTGTAGGTTGGGAAATGGGTATTTTTTAAAAAAAATAGATCACGACGCAGTTGCAGAATGGAGACCATGAATGACCATGGTTCGGAGGCTTGGATTTCAAATGTACAGTTTGCCAGCGAATAGAACTTGCATGTAAATATAGAGATTTTCGGGAGGGAGGGGTGGGCGTTCCCCCAAAACACCATTAGTGTCGCCCAGACAAAAGGAAAGCCCCCCCCATCCCAGCAACCAGGGCCCGCCGATGGAGATATTGATTCGTCACAGCTTGGCATTTCTCCCCCACCCCTTACTTTTGATGTGAACCTGTAGCTGTATAATGCTGTCAAAAGTTGGACTAAACCCATAGTTTTTAGTAACCTGTATATTTTGTTGTAAAGAAAAATAATACAATCAACCAAATCAAACCAAAACACACCCGACCTTTTTTATGGACATTGAACGATCCGTGTAAATCCTTTGGCAGTTTGTTATTTCCGCACGTCTCCTCTTTCTGTTGTAAACTTATGTAGATATTTGGCTTAAATATAGTTCCTAAGAAGCTTCTAATAAATTATACACATTGCAAATATTCTTATTATTATTATTTTCCTTTGCTTTCCCCTTATATCTCTCCCTCTCCCCCACCCCAGAAAACAAATAGGGATGCTAACAAATATTGACACCAAAAGCAAAAAGGCCCAAATCTTGCAGGAGTTCGGGCCACTGGTTTCACTGGGAAGCAGGATTAGGCCCATGTTTTGGAGAGAGATAAGATTACTGTAGTCCAAAAGGAGGAATCGACCCCCGGAATTCATTAGCCCGACATCAAGCTAGGGAGCACATGGCTATTGACAGAGAAAGGAAAGTAGTCCAGAAGCAGAGAAGTTAAATGTGTATGGTTATTAGAAACAAACTAAGGAGTAACGCACTGACAGGCTAGAAAATGCAACCCTTTTAAAAAGCGTGTCCAGTTTTAATAACTTGTGCAAAAATAATTTCTACCAGGTTTTCTTATGTACTTTGTATTTTAAGGAAAGTACAGTCACCTTATTTATAATCAAAATAAAATGATAGATTATTGTGTACGGCGTATAGTTTGAATTAACTTTTTTCATACAATGTATCTGTGCACACACAGGCGCACTTGCATCACTTTTGTCCTGCACCTTTCATCCTGACAAAACAGGCAGAGGAACTAGCTTGCTACTTTGCTGCGGGTGCTTTGCTCCGGTGGCTGGACTAGGCTGTAAAGAAATAGGCAAGAGAAAGTGTGTGTGTGTGTGCGTGTATGTGTGTAGGTGAGAAACATAGCTGCATTTATTAGTGAGGTAAACATTATAGGGAGTTCAAGAGAGCTAGTGTTAACTTCGGGGTAAATAGATAAAGTAGATATTCCACTGAATAATCAACAAATAAGTTTCATTCGCAAGATTTTGGGCCAATATTATTCCTTTTGGAAACTGGAAATCCAAAGTTAGTCTTTCCCATCAACATAAGGACCTCATACGGTCATTTTCTCCAAATCGCCTTTTTAGTAGTAATTTTCCCTCCGATTTTTTAATTAAAATGCGGGCATAAATCTCATAATGGAAAGATCTCTGAAACGCCGAGGAATCCTGAACCAGTTCCTGTTATCTGAGACGGAGCGAGAAAGGAGGTAGCCAAGAGTGGAAACAAACACCTCCGCAGTTTTTGTAGCAGCACCGGAGAGCTCTGTCATACTATTTAGACAAGCTATTACTCAGAGCTCGGATAAGAAAAAGGAAAGAGACTAAAAAGATTATCGGATCCTTCTTTTAAACTGGAGGACATCACGTGTCAGAGGGAATTTGAAGTTTCTCCATTTTTATAGTATTCCGTAAGTGGATAGAGGAAGATTACCAAATGGGCTCGAACATATTTTAACGTTACTATTTTCGCGTCACTTTTCCTCTACTAGAAACATTAATTTAAAGTTTATAACTAGCATTCAGAGAGCCCAAACGGAGTGCTCGGTGCTGTCGATTAGAATAGAAATACATCGGGAAACTGGAATTTCTTTTAAGTGTAAAACTTCTGTGCTTACGTCCTGGTCCAAGGAGAATCGGCGTGAGATCTGTGCATGATTAATGCCATACATTTATGAGCAGGTCTTGTTCCATTCTCTCTCCAAATTTTAAAATACACGCTTAAAGTGTGAAAATGCGGTGTTTAAATCAACATGTCTCCCCTCTTGAAATGTATTTTTAAATCCTTCAAAAATAGGTAATTTTTAAAACTCCAGCAGATCTAGGAATAACTGAAATCCTAGAACTATTTTCATGGAATGGAGAAATCAAACTGGCATGTTTAGTGTGGAACTAGCTAGAGACTTAACATAATAGACTTTGGGCAATAAATGAATTTTATTGTATCCAGACAACCTCATAAACACATTTGATGGTGGGTGTAATTACTGTAATGGATTATTATGTACACTGGCTTATCTTTCTTAAACTAAATTTAGTTTCGATTAAATAAACTCGTTTCCACTTTGTCTGATGTCGGCTTAGTTTAAAGTCTGTTTGCTTGTTCCACAGAAAAGTGAATTCATCTCTTTATAAAGCACTAGGGACCAGGCAAACACAATTCAAACTATATTTACATATCAATCAGGAGAAATGCAAACAAACTGCCTCTTTAACAAATTTATAGCGTTTTTTTATGACACCGTATTATTGCCTTTTATCATAGACTCCTTTGTACAGCCAGTTATGCCTTCATTAAGATCAAGATATTCCAATGACTTAGAAAACATTTAATCGAAAATGTCCCTTGAGCAGACTCACGGGAATTTACCCACCGTATAGCTTTCCTAAATTAAAATATAGGCTACTATGCAAACCCTTGCCTCTTCTCATGCACCGATTTTCAGTCGCTTGTTAATCAATGCAGAACTGGAATAATGGGAAGTTAAAAAGGCGGGGGTGGGGGAGAAACCAGAGCCGGGATCAAAATCTTTGAAATCATGGCACAGAAATACATTGCCAAATGTCTCTGATCGCATATAGAAATCAGACCACGGGCACCATATATGCATTTTGCAGTTAAAGGGATCTAATAAAGAATGGCTATTCCCTCCTTCCACTTCCTTCTCCCCCCCCTGGCATTGCCTATAGATGTACGAGATTTGCGGAGGGTATTTTTCCCATTGCTGTAAATAGGAGTTCATGCTTGAGTGCTACGAAGTGTGGATGCAGTGGCACCGCAGGCTGGAAAAAGATCAGAGCTTCGCCATATTTGCTGTTCGGTATCGACGCATTTTTGTTTCAAACGAACGTCCTTTGACTACTAGGAGTCTCGGAAAGAAATACAGTCAGAAGGCTCTCCAGTCTTGAGGTCTGAGCCAAAATGATATTTCTGTTCCCTGCAGTCAGAATAAGAAGCAGTGCAGGAATTCTTGTTAGACACACGAGAAAACCAATCGGGATGCGAATCTAGATGTGTAATGCTGCATTTTAATTCACAAGGCAGTTCACTGTCCTAATACAGTTTGGTTGCAGAAAGTGCAGGTCCCAAGCAATGTAATCCGAGGCAGTTCTAAAATGACACCAAGGGAAGTTGCCACGGGAGGGGGAGGGGGGTATTAGCCGGTTTATTGCAGACTGCAGGTAAAAGGGCCTCGCTGGGGAGCGAGCTCTATTCTAACTACTCATGGCGACTGCTTTTACAAAGGGAACTTTGGAGGTAAACACTGAATGGCTCCTGAAGAATTTCAATCCTTTCATGGCAATGTTTGGCGCAAAGTTGACACTATCTTTCTATCTGACCAGCTGTTCCTCTTATGACTCCCATCGAAACTGCCCCCTCCCCCCAACAAGTGCATGGCAATATTGTGTTTATGTATCAAATGGGTGCAAAGATAGAAATATTATCTTCTATGGCAAATTGGTGATTAACACGAAATGAGATCTGGTTGTCTCTGGCTGCAAGCACATTAGGGATCAGGTAAGGTCAAAGCTTTATATATTATGTCTTTTGCTGTAAAGCTTCTGGTAAATTTCGGATAAATAAAAAAATGAGTAAGATGTGTTGTCATACAATTAAATTAAAAATCGTTTTTAATTGCTAACTGCTTCGAAAACCTGCAATGGAAAAAAGTTAGCTATGAGATTCAAACTTAGATTTAAATGTTCGGTTTAAAAAAAAAACTCGATCATTTTTATAATAACAGCAAAGATATGAAAACCAGCAGCTTTACGAGAGAAACGGTGACTTCTTTGACCACAGTTGCCATATATAAACTTTTCTAAAGTAGCATGTTTAATTTAAAAAAAATATTTACAATGCAATGAGTAATATTTAAGCCGTGTTTAATACTTAGGGCCATATCTAACATTAGTAACGATGTGAAACTGACTAATATACTTTTCTTAAATATATTTTTATTTTACAAATACACAGGCTATTCGTGTTGTTTTTAATCTCCATATCAAACTAGTTTACAGAATATTATCGCTACATTTAAAAGTTGTCTTGTATTATAGTGATCAGAACTGCTGATGTCTTTCCATACATTGCTTTATCATTGCAGTGGTTCTTTAAAGTGTTTCTTGGGAAAGCACTTCATTGATTAGATATCCAGAAAATGTGTATATAAGAGATCAAGACGATATAGTTTCAATACAGAACCCGAAACAAAGCTTAAGATCTCCACATCCACATGTTCTGGTGGCTTTTACTAGGGATCTTTTTCATTGAGAAAGTGAATTTTCTCGAATAATGCTGGACTAAAAGCATCCGAAATGTACGCACACCTGGCAACTTTGCAGGAACAAACTTTTCTGTTTCATATTAAAGGTGCATCTGAAGTGGCTGAGTTCATTTCAGTTTGTTAGTGACCTAATAATGTAACTCCAGGACACCGCTCTTTTGGAGTTTCTCTCAGTGCTTTTGTTTGGCAAACTTTTTGTTTTGTTTTGTTTTTTTGGTTCTCCGAAGTACTTATAGATAGTATACTTTTGTATCCAGTTTCGTTTTGGTCATTTACTCCAAACAAGCAGACTTCTTAAGATAGTTATTGTTATTAAAACTATCAATTCTGATAGTAATAAAATGTAGCCACCCATCTTAGCTCTCTCCTCTTTCCTCATCAGCAAGAAAGAAAGAAAGAAAGAAAGAAAGAAAGAAAGAAAGAAAGAAAGAAAGAAAGAAAGAAAGAAAGAAAGAAAGAAAGAAAGAAAGAAAGAAAGAAGTAATTAGCTCGGATATTTTACAATATATAAATGGTAGGCACAGACTGTGCAAATACAGCTCTGACAAGGTAATTTTGAGCACTTAGAAACCTATAGGGCTCAGTTGAAGAAATTACATTGAAACAAAACCGAATTGTTATGTGGAGGTGTACCCCCTCCTTTTCTTCTTTTCCTCCCAACATCCCATTTCTTTAAAACTATCTGTTGAAATACTTCTTCTATACTATTTTTATATTTTCAAAGATTTGTCCTTAAAATATCTCAACACTGATCAGAGTGCCCATAGAAAAATGTGACTAGATTTCTCCTGACAGGTAAACTTTTTATCTACCAAATAAAAATCAACAGAAACATAAAATGAAAGGCCTTCAAGATCAGCTAAAACATAGTCTTCCAAAGTTTTCTAAATGTTTTTAAAAGATACCCCTCAATATGGAATAGAGGGCCTTATTTTGGTCCCTTGTAAACCCATGGGAGTTTTGTCACTGACTTCAGTGGAAGTCAGAACCAGTTTAAAATGATCATCATTTCTAATTTCACTAAAGTGAGAAATAACTTATGAAAGAGTCTCTGCTCATTCAATGTAGTGGTCAGGCAAATTTCCGGAGTAGTGAGTGGTAACAATTTTAAATGAAGTTCAATTTATTGTGATCTACAGGCAATAACAAAGGAGTTTTGTGTATTTCTTTCCGCATTAATTTCATTTATTTGTTTAATTTCAATATTAAACAACGTAACTGGAGTAAGGAAAAGCCCAATCATTCTAGACTGGACTTTTGTAAATACTACAATGGAAAATCCAAAAGTATAAATGGAGAGCTTCTTTTACTCAT